AGGTATACACTGTCCTAGGCTAAACAAATAGACACAGGCATGTCCTTTCAAGCCCTCAAAATGTGAATATATGCCATGCAGCTCCCACTTTGTTATACACAGACTATCGGACCTATACGCAGACACACATTCACAGGCAGAGTACACATTAATCTATGACACACCCACTGCACGCTTTGTGGCTTCCTGCGCGTCCGTTCAAGACCAGACATATCTGCAGAAGCCCTGAGTTCTGTGTGTAGCCTGGCTCTGGAGAAGCTGGTAAGGGCCTTGCCTTTCCCTCAACATCTCAAGCCTCACCGGACCTGCCCCTCTAAACCATGGCTAGCCCATCTCATCCGATAGACTCTGAGTTATCCTACAACAGGCAGCCTGGCTTCTGGGACTCTAACGGACCTGGAGATGCCTCCTCCAGCCTTAGGCAAGAGAATACCAGCTCATTCCAGATAAGGATCCTGATGCTATCTGCCAGATCCTGAGGCGGCTAGAGACAAGCCAGGGATGAGCCAGAATTCACCTGAGAGCAGAAGCTCCACCCTGGGAATGAGCCACTGGAAACAGGTGACGACAGGGAGGATTCCCTTTCCCCACGCCACGGATGTCAGACAGACAGAGGGTAAGTATTTAGAGAAAGGGACTTGGGCAGGAGGAATAAGCTGGAAGAGAATGCCTCCACCCTGCGCTAGACTGTCTTGCTTCAATTGTCCCAGGACAAGGAACCTCACCCTAGCTCCTCAGCCTCCTTAGATGCTTTCTCAGCCTCCTCCCTAGGGTTCCAGCCTTTTCGTACCTCCTCCCAGCCCTTGGGAAGTTGTTCCTGGCATATCACCCTGGTTTATCTTGCTGTGGCGCTGGGGAAGGATTTCCAGGGAATGTAAGAGAAGAAGGCAGCTTGCGTGCACGGAGAGAAGAATCAGGATGAAAGTGGTATAGAAAAGAGTCCTAGGCAAGACCTGGGGAGAGAGGGACAGTGGGAAGTCAATGGGGCTGTCCAAGGAACTAGTGATTGTCCCTTATAAAATCACCAGGGCTGGCCACCCTGTATGGGGAATATCACCTCGGCCAAGTGTCTGTTCTCAGCTAGGAAATCTATTCTGAATTTTCAAACTGATTTCAGACTGGAAGAGGAAGAGAGAAGAAAAAAAAAAAAAAGGCAGCTCAGAAAGTATCGGCACAGGAAGCATCCAGCCCACCCACCCTCTGCGCGCGCGCACACACACACACACACACACACACACACACACACACACACACACACGGAGATGCCCCCAACTCTCCTGGGACAGCCAGGGCTTCCTGAGTGGGCACTGCCTGAGAGGCCCTCGGCAGAGGAGGGTGCAGCAGGCATCTTGCCAGAAACGCAGCCATCACACATATGCGCACACACAGGCACGCACATTCCCATCCACAGAAACAGGATGAAACGGTCCCCCTTCTCGGTCTCCTTCCTCATACCCTTCATCTAGACCCCAGGAGGGGCTCCATACTATTTTCAGCAACACTTAATAGAACGTCCCTTGCTGGGACTTGCCCAGGCCCCGGGCAGGCAGCCATGGTATCCAAACCTGTGGACCCTGCCTTCCAGCCATGCCCTAGAGAGCTGAAGGGGGCCCTGGGAGTTTACCATCCATCCTCTCAGCCTCATCCCAGAAGAGGCATCACCTATGGACTCCCACAGCACATGGGGCATGGACCAGAGGCCCTAGGCCTGGGTTCTTACTGCCTATGATGGAAGCATCCCAACATGTGGAGCCCTTTCAAGGCAAACAGCTTTCCTGCCCAATGCTCTGGCTTGGGAGAGCTGACCCTTCCACTGAGAAGAACACACCAACAGTCTGAACGAAACGGATCATTGCCTGGCTCCTCCTCAGCCCCCACCCAGAGCTGCTGCTCACCTGACTCATACCCCACCTGCAATGACCACAACTAGCTCCATATCTCCAAGCAAGCCCTGTCTCCATCTCCCAGCATGGAAACATCACAAAGGGCACTTGCACACATATATGAGCCACTCGAACTGTCAATTAGATCATGAAGATCTATTCCGAGGCCTCTGCACACAGACACTGTCCCAAGCCTTCGGGCACAGGCTGTCCTGGGGAGAAGCTCCTTTGGCAGTATCCGAATCAGTGTCAGCAAAGTGAAGGTAGACAGTCCCTACCGGTGGCTCTTGGACCATCTTTGAGGCTCTTCTGTGAGCCCTTGCTCATCCCTGACCTTCTGGCGTAATACTGGACATCCTTGCCCCTGCCCAGCCCCATACCTGGGCTCAGGCACACGAGTAGTAGATGGAATGCTCCTCGAACTCCCATGTCTCCAGGCTTGGTCTTTCCTCTGCCTGAGCTGGGCTCCAGTGGGCTGGTTGGTGGTGGGTGGATGGGGCAGGTGGAGGGAGGGGGAGCAGAGGGCCCAGACACTGCCCGGGGTGGCAGGAAGGTGCAATGAGTGCCAGGCTAAGGAGCAGCCGGAGTTATTTCTATAGGAGGGAGGGGGCCTGGTCCCCGCCTTGGGGAGGAGCCCAAGTAGCCCTAATTAGCAGGGTGACAGGATGGCCTACCCAGGCATTACCCAGCCCTCACCCAAGCTCTTCCCTGTCCCGAGAGTGGTGCACAGCGACCAGCGGGACTTGTAATTAGGCACCTGTTAAACCTCCATTTCCTCCTGACCAAGTCCTCGGGGCGACAACAGTTGCCCCATTTCGCAGCGTCCACGGAGCTCCGCTCACCACTCATTTGTTGCCTGCTTCCCTGGGGGAAAGAGGAAGGGGAAGCCAGCTTTGGGGAGGAAGGATGGCCAGGATTTGGAGAGTTAACACTGACCAAAGACACCCCAGAGCCTGACATGCTCCCCCATGGCAGACCCAGACTTCCAAGTCCTAACCCTTCCAAGCACCTCTTGCTTTCTGGGGGGGGGGGGGATGTGTGGGTCCTCCAGGTCAGATGTTAAAGAGAGTGCACCAGAGAAGGGATGCTTCTCCCATGTTGGGACCTAGGCCTGGAGAGAAAGCCCAGGGAACAGGGGATACTGGAACGTAGCTTTTCTCTTCCCCTTCAAAGAGAGTGGGGCCTCCTGAGCTGACAAGGGAGAGAAAGGGTGTGTGTAAGAACAGGGTCTTCCCTTGCTACTGCTTCTCCATCCTTGCTGACACAAAGGGCATCCCCAAGTTCCAGGACCCCGGAGAGAGCAGGAGGTGCTATGATGGGTCTAGATCCTACCTACCTCCCACACAAATCTAAATCAGTTTACCAAGGCTCAAAGAAGAAGGAAAGAGGAGTTGGGGCATTTGGGGGGAGTGAGGGACTTTGAAGGGTGAGGGAATGTTTGAGGTGGGCAGGGCAAGAGAGGTGATGTGAGTGTGTGCATCTCTCGCGGGTCTGAAGAAGGTAGGAGAAGGGCTGAGCTCGGCTGTGTGCTTTCTTCGGGGACTTCTTGGGATCTCAGCCGGGCCTTGAAGGTTTGATGCAGGCCCAGTGTTAACAAGGGTCATAATTTCCTAAGAACCAAGACCCTCAAAGCCTGGACTGTCCACTGGGCAACTCAGTCATCAGGGTGACTAAGCCGTCGCAGTTCTAGGCGGTGAGGTAGAAGCTGGGGTGGGAGGGTCTTAGCCAGCAGAAAGGGGAAGGCCAGCTGCTGTTGGCAGATCTATGGGTTCAGAACAGTTCCTTAACCTTCCTTCCCTGGATTCCAGGACCGTCCAACAGGAGGCAAGTCATGGGAAGCCTCATTCTACAGCCTGGCTCCCACAAAGGATCCCAGAACCCTCTCCACAGCTGACCTGGGACTCAGGAAGGGCAGAGGGGGAAGAGTCTTCAGGAGAGTTATGGGGCTCAGGAGGGCTGCCAGGGCCCACCCCCTTGGAAGAATAAGACAGAACAATGAGGAAGCTTAAGGAGTCCACGCGGCTCTGTGTTCCAAAGCCTTTTACCCAACCTGCCAACAATAACAGGTTGCTCGAGGGCCCACCAGATCTACACAGTGGCTGTCCTTACTTCCTTATCTATTTTGAGATTTATGGGGTTGTTCTGAGCCTTCTGGAAAACAGGGGTCATTATCTCCATTCTACGGGTAGGGAAACAGAAGCCGGGAGAAACAAAGATTCAGTTCAGTTGCAGCTACTGGCTGAGTAGGGGACAGGCAGGCATCATGACTCTCAGCCCTGAGTGGTCCAAAACAAGGCTGGATGGACTACTGCCCATCAGAGGAAAGGGTGGAAGGTCAGTGGTGAGTGGAGGGGAAAGCAGGCAGGACCAGGAAGAGAGAGAAGCCAAATAGAAAGGGGTAGAGCCGTGGGTCCACTAAATCGAGGTATATGCTCATTCATTTGAGCTCTGGATTTGAGCTAAGGTGCCGTGACGGCTGCCCCTGGGGTAAAATTGGGGGCTATTTGAAATTATGGATGAGATTGGGGTCAGGTGTGAGGCTTGGATTGAAGTTAAGGTCAGTGTTCAGGTTAGAATGACTGCTAGCTGGGTTGAAATTGATTTAAGATTTGTTACAAACAAGTTTGTATTAAGTTTGGGGTTTAAGTCCAAAGAGTGTGCAGCTGTGGTTAAAAGATGGGTGAAAACGTATGATCAAGAGGGTTCAAGGTAATCAAAAAATGAGAATTTACGGTATAGAAAGATTCCAGCCCCCCCTCCCCCCCCCCCACACACACACCCTCCTGTTAAATCCAGGTTTGGCTCCGCTCTGGAAACGTACTAGTGGTACACACTGATATACCCAATATCTGAGGGAGGGATTCAGAAATGCATGAGCCCATATGAAAGAGGATGAAGCAATTTGATCCCACAACAAATGTAACCTCTGAAGTCCTGCTCTACCACCTGCTCACAGCCTAAGGAAGCTTCCAGATGCAGGAAGCTATGAGTAACCAGTGGAGTTCTGTCGCCGAAGGATGAGGCCCATCAGACGGATTTACGGGAGAAGGGATTGTGGAGTTTCAAAGAGGCTGAGGTGGAGGGGTTGAGAAAGAATAAGGACCTATTAATAGATGCTTCTAAAAAAAATACTTTCGAGGGGATCACAGAGGGTTTCTCAGAGCAAGAAAAAACAAAAACAGAGCATCGTGTTTGGTGCCCCTTGACCTACTGGAGCCTAATTGTCACCTGCCTGCAATCTGCAGCCTATAAACAAAGCTGTAGGTGTTCCTGCCCTGTGCCACAGGGGCTTGGGGGCAGGGTGGCAGGGAAAGGGGACCAGGCATAGATCCAGCCTAGCGTTTCCACTTTCTGAGACCGGCCCGCAGCCCTGTGCCTCTCTGGGCCTCCCCCTCAGCAAAGGAAGAAGGCCCCACTCCTGAGAGGCACCCCGCTCTAACTCTTCCCTCGCCTCCCCCTCACCATCTGTCTCCACCCTAAACTAACTGTTTTCACCCTCTACTTCCTTTTCAAACCCCATAAAGGTCCAGGCTGACCTCAGAAAAATCTCGGACTTCTGTGCCAGGAGAGAGGGGCGACAGCACTCACTTCTGTTCTAGGACAGAAATAAAAGATGAAGACCTAGCAAAGAGTGAACAGAGACACCGAGGAATGGAGAAGGCCAGACAGGGATTCAGAGAAGCCAGAGCCAGCTTCTGAGATGGGGTGCAACCCAACCCCAGGTCCCTTTAGAATACAGGCAGCCTGCCCATCTTCCAAAGCTACCTTCTCAGCAATTCCACACAAACTCCTTGCTCTTCTCTTCCTCCCTGACTTGCCCCAGCTCCTCCCCAGGCTCCCTAGGTACACCCTAGGGTGGAGACTACACCTTAACCTGCTTCTAGACCTCCCTCTCTCCCAGCCCCTCTGCCCCTTCTCTACATGCCTCCATGTAGACCTAGAGCTCAGCCCCGAACATCTAGGGAAGAGTTACCCAGCAGAGAAGGTCTCTGAGGAGTTTGGGAGCAGAAGTTAGGACCTACCACAGAGAGACGGTATCCTGTAGGTCTTAAAGCAAGATGGCCGCAGAGAAGCTGGATTCTGGATGCCAAAGGGCTAGAGCAGCTGCTGACTTCCCACCAGATTTCAGTGAAGGTAATAGGGTGAGGGACTACCAGGTGAGGCCGAGGGCAGGGGCTCAGAGATTGTGCTGGTGGCATGAAGGGCTCACTGTAAGTTCTGATATGAAGGGTTAGAGTCAGGTGGGAGAAAAGCAGAGAGGTCTATGTGAGTGCTTCAGTTTGAAAGTGTGGGGGTGGGGCTGGAGACTGCAGTGCAGATGGGGCTTCAAGCACTAGCCTGAAACACACATGACCCACAGATGATCTGGGCCCGTTCCCCAGCTCCGGAGTCTCGGGGCTTCCACTGGCTCACCTCAGCAAGAGGGCAGCTGGGTATACCCAAGTCCCTCCCATCAAGCAGTACCCTAGGGCTGAGCATGGGTCACACAGTCTTCTGAAGGAGTGGCCTGACTCACCACCACTTTCAGCAAGGCTCACGAGCCAAGAGTGGGTGACTGGATGTCATCAACTGAAATTGTCAGGGGGCCAAACAAAGTCAAGAGGGAGCCCCTTGTAAAGAGTCTGTGGAACCCTGCTGACAGAGCTGAGGAAGAACTGAGAAGCCTGAAGATAAAAGTGTCTTTGGGGCCGGGCGTTGGTGGCGCACGCCTTTAATCCCAGCACTCGGGAGGCAGAGCCAGGCGGATCTCTGTAAGTTCGAGGCCAGCCTGGGCTACCAAGTGAGCTCCAGAAAATGCACAAAGCTACACAGAGAAACCCTGTCTCGAAAAAACAAACAAACAAACAAACAAATAAATAAATAAATAAATAAAAAGTGTCTTTGGCTACATCTCCATCCCTCGGACCTCCCTGCACTTCCCTAACTGCTGGACCTCATGCAGAATGTGGAGATAAAGCAAAGGAGAGACACACAGCTCCTCTCCTACAGCATCCCCACTGAGAGACACGGACAAGCTAAGGGACACTAGCCCACGGTGTGATAAAAACGGTGTAATAATTCACAAGGTCCTTCGTGGTGGAAATAATCTTTAAACAGAGATCCAAAAGGTTATTGATGATGTGCCCCTAGAGAGAACTAGAGGACCCCAGAAGTGACCAGAGTTATGTCTCAGTGCTTGGGAAGTAAGCCAGGGTCCTGCCAGACACAATTCAGAAGAATGAAGCCAGGAGTGACAGCTGATGATTATTCTTCGACAGAGGAGATAAGATCCTTGAGAACTAACCCTCTTGGATCCTTCTACTCAATTCCTAAGAGGACTTCGCTGGGATCATAGCCAGGTCCTCAGGATAGATCCTACAACTTAGATTGATTGGCCTGGACCATGTGCCCCTGTGGGTGAAGACAGATTTTGTGATGAATTAATCCCTATGTGTCCAGTGGGACTTTGGCTTTTGGACTTGTAGGAATAAAATTTTCTTTTGCTTCAATGCTTGGATTTTCTGACCACATATCTTCAAAGGGA